TTCTCAACAGATTTCTCCCTTGTGAATACCTTTCGCATTTTATCAACATCACTCTGATGAGAGTATATGATAGAAATATTATTCCCACGTATTTTGCTCAACAAAACGTTACATATAATGATGTTATGCTATATTAGCAATACTTTAAAAGACTAAAATTCAAAAATTAATATTAAAACAATTCTGTCAATTATTCAACTAATTTACTTTTTTAATTCCTTATCTAAAAATACGTTGTCAACTACTATGACATGGATTGTCGTAAAATTTACTGCAAAGACAATGGGCCGATGAGATCATACTTCCGGTACTAAATATACGTGATCCATTGAACATTACAAAAAAAATTGTATTCAAACAATAAGTTTCTTTCAAACGTTTACGCGGTATTTTGAATGGTTATAAAACGAAACATATTTATTTGCATCATACACATTGTGTACTTTCACAAAATTTATAACATCGTTGAAGGAAAAATATATGAAAATGTCCAAAAAACCTTGTCGTGTTTACGACGTGGTCGAGTAAGAGCTCAAAGCCCCGCCTATTGCGTGCGTGGTGATTGGCTCGTATAAAACACAAGCCAGCAGCCCGCGAGTGTGACTGAAGGCGGGTCCCGACTATTCCCGAGATGGAGGGGCCGCGATAGGCGGCCAACGCTCCACCCCCAGAATGCGAAGTGGCGGAGGTGGCTGACGTGATCGACAGCCATCAGCCGCCGCCGGTCTCCGCCCCTCCGCGGGCGCGGGCCCCTTAACCGGGCTGGATTGCCATTTTTAGCCACACTTGCCTTCAAACAAGTGTTTCTTGGTTCGGTTGGAGTACAGTCTCCCAAACAGTGCACGGAAGAAACAATAGTTATTCATAATACAAGTGGTAAATTGACATGTTATTTTGCGACGCCATTCTGCGACCAAAATAAATCCCTTTTACCACGTGTGTCATACTATATGTGTATTTTAAATTAAATATACAAAGAGCTTAATGATAATTGAGGTAACTGATGAGATCAGACGAAAATATTTTGTTTCCTTCGTTGCCTCCAGAGATTGATTGAGACGAAGAATCCAATAAATTCATTCCACTTTTAGCACTAGCCTTTAATTGGCATCGTTTTTCATCATCTTTAATGGGTCTCGGTGGTCTGTGATACCGCTCATGCTTAATTTCTATATTTCAACGTAATATTCGACATTGTACCTTCTTGCTAGTCTAAAAATTAACACTTTTAGAAGGTTTATGAACCAAAACTGATCGAGGTCCGGAGATGGCAGGATTTTCGACAAGGGATCACAACACACGTTGGCGATGGTGACCGGGTAAGTATCGTCGAAAGGCCAAGGAGGGTTGGTGGGGCGAAGTGAGAACTAGTGAAGTGGAATAGGGCCAGGTGGGTGAGGAGGCACAGAGGTTCAACAAATGTTGCTGCAGTGCCTCTGAACGGGACGTTCTGGGGTTCGAGTCTCGACGACGGCAGCATTTGCGATACTAGCTAGACAGCTAAGTCGAACTCATCCGCTCTCTGGAGGAGACTCCTCTCAGCCGGCTGCTCTGATCGGTAGTTTTCCATGCTTTCTTCGGTTAACGCCAGGCAAAAGCGGAACGAACGGGCCACGGACCGCACCGAGAAACGCCGTAGTCGACGCGGAGGCCGGTGGCGGATTTCGCCATCCATTAGAGGCAGATCGCGGCCCCTCCCGGGGAGAAGCGTGCATGGCACTCCATACCTTCGCAGTTCCAAACGATCTTTCAATCGCAACTCCAAAGAATCAATCAATGGAGAGTTAGCACACCTCTTGAAGCATTATTTTCCCATAATAAGTGCCTTCATTGTTCTTAAACCATGTTCGTGTTCATTCTCTTACTCACGTTTGGTGTCAGAATCTTGAACATATTCCTCTAAATAATCGGAATAATCTACTGTCTTCAAGTTTTTCCAACACATCTTCCACAAAAGCTGTTGTGATCGGGTCTAATTGAGGAACGACAAGGCCTTCAATACATCGCCTATTGTATGTTATGGAAGAAATATCCTCTCAAGAATCATATGAAATTTCAGTCTGTTCGTATAAACCTGTGAAAACTGTTAGTGCTGAAACAGCAAGTCTTCCTACAATTACACAATTGAAGATAAGAGATTTACCCTTCAAGAAAAATTTTGTCTTCATATTGTACAATTTTAAAAATTGTCAAAATGTCGGTCTGTCTACTTGTGAAGCAATTTTAATGACAGAATTTGGGAAATTAATAGTGTATCAGACTACTCATTGCTACTCAGATATTTCACAAACTTTTAGAAAAACGCTAAGCTTTCATCAAATCTTATTTTTAATTGATATTTTCAAGAATAATAATTTCTTCTCTTGAACCCTGTTGTACATGAATGAATACTGACTGAAATTAGAAGAGTTTGAAGTTTGAGGGGTAATGAGAAATATTTCTAATTCGCCATGTATTTGCGTGATTCTAGCAACACAAAATTTGAGATACAGCTTAATCCACACAATTTGCTTCAGCGAACTATTATATTTGTCGGCATCTCAAAAGTGTTCGTGCAAAATCTGGAAGCAAATGCACAATTCAGTTGTTCAAAAGCTTTCGGGGAACTTACACGTGCACTCATTTTGATGCATTAATGATTGGAATTGAAAGTGAGGAATAAATTAAATAGTTATAACCATAAACTATGATGCACCAGGAAAATATGCAAATGTCTTAAAATAAATGTTATAAATATCTAGGGCATAAAATGTATTAAAGGTGGGTAATTTTTGCTAATACAGACGGGATCACTCGTAAGACATTTGTCTCTAATTGTTACGAATCTCGTAATGCCCAAGAGTTTGCCTAGACAAATGATTTTGTGAATCGCACTGGAAAAAATTGTGTGAATCTTCAGCACACATATGCTGCGGAGATGGCTTACAATTAGGGGAAAATTTCATATGTACCGTACATCGTAACATGAGTTTTGCTACAACTCATATATATATATATATATATATATATTAAATTGCCAAAACGGTGATCTTTTTTACCTTAAGCATTGGTAATAGTTATTAGACGTCCTTCAGGTTGATGCACATTAGTAAGTGAGAAAACTTATTGCATTTTAGAAAGGCCTAATAAAGACAGTAGCATTCCAAACCTTTGGCATGTGAGCGTATTCTATCAAAATTGCAATAACAGCATACCAATAATAGAATAAATGTAACTTCAAACTGTATTTTCCAGCTGAAGCGGAGTGCAGAGCGGCCGCGGGAGACGTAAGTGGCGACGGGACGCCAGGCGGCGATAGGGCCCACGCACCCCGACGCCACGTCGCCGCCGGCGGCAACGTCTCAATCAGCCCGGGCGGTCTGCTCGCGTGCCCAAGCAGCCCCCCCCCCTCCTCCGGCCGCGGTCGGGGCCGGCCCATGTTTGCTCCCCATGGTTTATGCAACGCGCCACGCGGACCGGCAGACGCGGCGCGGAGGGCCGAGGACGGGCGACATTGTCCGTTGGGCAGATCAGGCGGCCACTGCCAATGCCTTCTATGTTGGAACTGGAGGGCGGATTTTTATTTTGTAATTTATTTTGCATTTTACGGTCATTTCAACTAATAAGTCTTTTTTTACCATTTACGTCATTTTAATCGTAATTGCTTCAAAGAACATTTTCAAGATACACAAATGTTCACTTCAGAATTCCTGAGTAGCCTTTTCGATTTCTTCGCTCATGTATTGTCAGCCGCTGTGAGTACTGCGGTAAGGTTCTGCGACGCTTATCGACGCCATTGTCAGTTCAGCTTATTTCGTGATAAATTAAGGCAGAAATTTTCTTTTAAAGAACAGTCCAAACCAAAAATTTGCATGCTGGGTTTACTTGAACAATAAGAAAAAGCCTGGATTCCATCAGTAACATACTCAACCGCTTGAGTCATTCATCAAAAGTGGTTTTGATCTTTTTTCGTTATTTTTCCTTGGTTTTTAGGGCATTTAAAAAAATTTAAGATTTTCTTGATCATTTTTTAAACACTTTATGACAACAAAATCCATCTCCTGTAATAATTTTAAATGCTACCGACTGCTAGCTCCACAGCAACTCCGCTGTCTGAGTTGTCTTCCGACTTCCTGTTCCGACAATGGAGCATTTTCCCACACTCGCTCCTCAGTTTGTAGGTTCAGTTCTACCATTGTGCTGAACCTCTAGTTTATCAAGTATCTGATATATCATTAGCCTTGTCGTCCTCGTTGTTTGCTGTTGTTAATAATAATAATAATATTAAGGGGATGATGAGGGGTGAAAGGATTCGGATGATGGTAGGAGGTGTTAGGAAGAGTAGCGAGAGGTGGGTGTTCGTGGGATTTTGCAACCATCCCAGCATTCCCCATCCCTGCAAAACCCAACCCGGACCTCCCGATTGCGAATCCAGCGCGGGCCACTATATACATACATATTATTTATATATATAAAATTGTACTTATTTAAACGTAGTATGTATGTATTTGCATTTGTAGTGCATGTAAATGACATCTGGTTGTGCTAGTTAGTGACAATGATCATTCGTTTTCATATTGTTTTTTTACTTGTTAATGCATTTGGAACTGTTCTTCCACGTTTGTATATTCTCCGAGCAGGCAACGTCATACGAATTGTAGGAAAAAGCTTCTATCAACCTATCTCGCTATCTTCCGAGAGAGTTGCATACCAATTAGGATCACCACCTTAAATTAGTCATGAATAATTTCGTTAAATGAGATTTCTTACATGTACATCTACAAAACGTGACCTTCTTCAACACATTTCTTACCCCAGAAGTATGTAACACTCATTATCAACCGTTCCGTATCTTGTAGAGCATATTACTAGTGGTGTAAACTCATTGTTCAGAACTGACGTACGCAGGAAACAAAACCAAATCATGTAATTGCAAACAATTCATTTTTTTACGTTAGCCTCCTATATTCTTACTTCGATCTTAAACAATAAAATGTTCAAATCAAGAAACAAAGTTTTACTGTATTATTTTTAATGTAGTCTTCCGATAGTAATAACAATTCATGATCAATCCTCCTTTCATCAACTGCACCTCGTATCTGCGTCACGCATCTTTTTGATGGACCAAATTCATCAGGTGCTCGAAAAATCAATACGAAACTCATAAGCGAAAGCGATTTCGATGCCGCCGTCGCCATTAAAAAGGCGGCTACAGAGGTAAAGCTTTCCGATTTGCCCGTCCCACTTTCTATAGACCACGAAGTAAAGCCGCTTCTGATGGAAGGCGTCTGTGTGCGACGATCTTCATTTCCATATCTCACTCGGCAAAGTAGAATCGCTGCACGTGCGGAGCCCAGAGCTGAAGAACGAGAATCTGGAGTTTGAACTACAGGCAAACGGAGGTTGACCGTCGCATGCGAATGAAGAAACTGAGAAGAACACCGACGACAGACCAACGGCCATCACCAAGGGTGGGGGTGGAATCAATGGCAGACGCTACGCTAAATTAAATAATAAATAGAAAAAACGAATTTATGGAAGAACTAATAATATACATGCGGGAAGCCTCAAAATAAGTTAGAAATTTCTATGACCTGGAGAAATGGGTGGGCCAAAAATGCTCAATTTTTGCAAATAAATATTGATAGTAAATTCCTTATAAGATCACACATGTGATCTGATTGAAGGACAATATATCACGCATTGCAGTTGGCCGGGTCACATTCTGACTCAAAGAGATTCCTGCCATACATCAATGCATAAACAGCTGGCCGGTAATCACCTGCCTACCACGTGGTCTTAAGTGCAATGTTCGACTCTTGCTTGCCAGTAATTAGCAATATGCGGGAACCAAATTTCCACACATTTCTTGCATGTCAGCGTCAAAAAAATTAGTTTTGGGATGTGTCTGCAAAATTAGTTTTGAACGAGATCTTTAAGATCAGGATGATGTAATGTGAGTCCCACGAAATGAATCGCAGAAGCAATTCCAGAACAGAACATTGAAGCAAAACTTTGTATTTGTGTTTGTATATATACGATCGACACGATAAATAATTTAAACTTTACAATTCAAAATCTCTGAGAAAATGACAAAGGGGGGCGTGCGTGGAAAGCAAAGAATAGGCATCGTCAGTGCAGCTGTGACGAATTTCGGTGGGTGTGCGTCGTTCGAAAGCAGAAAGAGGTCGCGGAGCTTCGCGCAGCTGGCGGCACGAGGAATGCCCAGAAGGAAATACACATAGCTCCTTAGATGAGCGGAGTCACTCACAAGAAGAAATCACAAGGCGGAAAAATACACAAGTTGCAGCATCAAGACACAGGCACGCGTTACCACCAGCTATTGTCAAAGCTGAGACGTTTACAAACGAACGTTCTTCTACCCTAAGTCTAGATAATGAATGGTGGACAGTTTATGAACGAAACCTACTTAGGATACATCTAGAAAGTCAACGAAAAGATACACTCCGTCATGATTGACAGAGCCCCCGCAAGAAATTCGACAACCAAAGGACAAGCGAGTGTTCGGGAAGTGGGAGGCTCGCCGGTGTCGAATTCGTCACGCGGCAGACGCTCGCGCGCGCGCGGGGAGCGGATGATTGAAGGGGGGCTGCCTGATTTGAAAAGCCAATGGAAAGGGTGGTTCTAGTTAGGCCTAGAGCAGTGTCTCTCATGGACGAAAAGGGGAAGGGGCGAGGCAAGGTTCCCGGAGTAGGGGTCTCGCAATAGGAAAACATGCGAGCAGCGCCGGAAGCGAGTTTGCTCAAGGAGAAACGGTTTGATCGCAGAAAGACTGAGCAGTGGAGATCTTTTGTGGCAGAAAGAGTTTAGTCGCAGAGAGGGATTGTTCTAAGAGAGATTTTGGCCAGCGTCAGATAGACCTTGTGAATTCGAATGCAATACGCGATAGGGATTCTTCCTTCAAGGAAAAGTTTTTTTCCATAGTTCTTTATTAATCTTGTGTATATTTTTTTTTAAATTGTAATGGTTTGGCACAATATTGCAAGCAGGATCTCCAGTATAAAAAAAACAAAATAAGATTTTCTCGAAAACAACTCTAAATGCTTGCTTTATAGTTTTCGTAGGGTATGGTACTAATTGTACTCTATGTTTGTCGACTTCCACTATCTCTACCACCTTTTGTGAGCCTTGGCTTTCTCAATGAAGTCATTCCATCTTTTCCTAACCTCTACACTCGCTCTACACTCATTTACTCCCCTATCTAGCCGCACGTCATTCATCCACCGAGAACTTGGTCTTCCCCTCTTGCACTTGTCTCCCAATGCATTATCTTCCTTGGAAGCAGGTTTACTTATCTTCTTTGAATTATTTAATTCTACGACCTTTAATAAATCTGATGATATCCATCCCTTTTATTAAGTTTTCAATTTCATAGTTCTTATGCTCCAAACATCAGCAATAACTTGTATTAGCTCATATTTTACGTACTGTCTGCCTCAAATATTCATAGATGGTTCAGGACAGAGTCACTTAATGTATGTTTCTTCTGCAAACGAGACAGGGCGTATTGTGGTCTTGTATAATCTCATTTTGATCTCTTGTTAATCGTTTTGATCTGAGTAGTTTTAGATTGTCATAAGGTTCTCTACAAGGCGACATATACGCTATATTGCAGAAATTCTTTGCTTTTTTCCAAAAATTACAAAAATGCCTCACGTCATGATATTTGCATTAGCTGCAATTTGTTAACATTAATAATAATTTCTTATGAAAAATTTTCAAAACTTCAAGTTTTCTGGGGAAATGCGTTTGTTTCTACTTTTTCAAAACGCTCAAAATCCATAGTTTCAAAAACGGTTCCAATGATTGAAATTCTCCGTACGGTTGGTGCTAATTTTACCGTTTAATTTGACACAACAATGTTGCCGTTTTCTTTTGCTCTTTCAAAAATTACACAAATGTATTTTTTTAAATATCTCCCACACCTTTAATGTGCACATATCTCGCGATTTGTGTACATTATTGCGTTTGTGAGTGGAAACGTTTCAAAAAACTTTCAATAAAGTTTTTTGAAAACACTTCTGAGAAAAAATATCTGTGAAAGCGCTTCAAATTTCGTGTTTGCAATAACTAGGAAGTCTGTGCCATTCAGTAGCACCGCTAGCTTACTTTCGTGGATACGTATGTACAATACCAGTATACAGCATTCGAGTAAACCTCTTGAGTATGCAGATGTGCGGACATTCCGGCACTGTCAGCTAGACCACTTTCCGAGCACCAATCGAAACGAATGAGGTGTCAATCGACGCGTCTCGGTCACCTGATGGGGAACTGGTAATTTGTTTTCGGATCCAAACAGAAGATTCAAATAAATTTACAAAAACACCTCCTAAATCGATCTATGTTCGTGGTATTGATTAAACACGAGTACCAAAACAAATTTTAAACAAAATACGCCATTTTTTTCTTTCACGACGTTGGCAACACTGATGCTGACATCTTTAAGTGAACGATTGAATTAGTAAGTAAATCGGTCTGCATATTGATTTGAATTTTGTTTTGAATTAACGTATTTTTAAAAATAAATTTGCGAAAACCTACTACCAGTATTGCCTCGGAACTAAACTTAAAAAAATGCAGATGAATACGGAGAAAGCAAAACCGTGACCAGAAAGTGAGTAAATATTATGTTCCGCTTCTCAGTTTACGTTCTTACATAAGTGTGTAAAAGTCGATATTCAAATGAATGTGAACCTCAACTTGTGTTTATGAAACATAACTAACACCTTATTGACATAAACATGGAAAACAGTCGCCAGGGATATTTTGAACATTTTCTCTAAAACGGAACTGAAAGGACAAATTCTCGACAAGTGAACAAAGAATGTTTAAGTAGAGTGCTGTAGTAGATTACTTATTTTATCCTTCTCCAACAAATTACAATGTGAATATTTTAATAAAATATACAAATATTATGTTTGCATTTTTTTGAACTATTTTAGCTTTTTATTTACTTGGGAAGAAAATAAACAAAATTCGTAAACAAACTGTTTATAATGACGTAATAATAACTGATAGCCGAAGCAACAACAAAAGATAACATTAATGTAAATTAATTTTGAAATTCGCACCTTTCAAACTAATGCATTGAAATAATATTTATCGTGATTTCATTGCCAGACCCATAAACGCTCAAGTTGGTATGCGGGGAGGTGTAGGAGACTCAGATGAACGGGAATTTTGGAGCTTTCTGAATCGGATGTTGTAGTTTATTCATTGTGTCACTCCACTGGCATAAAATTTTATTAGTTCTATTTTTCATTTTCGTCTTCCTCTTTTATTAACGTGTCGCCGCTTGGTTTGCTCTGTAATCAAATTTTACGACCCCGCGCTCCAATGCGTAACTGAGTCGAGGCAGAAAAGGCCCAAACAGGAGCAGTAGGTGAACTTAAGAGGGATACATCCATGATAGCGCGTACACAATTTTCACAGTTAAATGGAAAACGGGTTCATATTTTACTGACAATATTCATTAGCATAATCAGATTTTTCTGTGGGAGGATGTAATATTGAGTGTAACTGGTGGGAGGGTATGAATCGATGTATTCATATAAATAAAGTTACGAGTTGTAAATATTATTCATTGGCTTCTGGATCTCAGGAGCCACTTTCCTTTGAATGCGACATTGACTTCATAAAAATACTATTTCACCTTTTTTGAAATTATCTGTCGTGTTAATATGTTAATGCAAACGTGTGGCAATAATGTATGCTTCGTCATTGAATAATTATTGTGAGGTCTTATGTTCGAAACCACAAAAATTAAGTTATCAATTATTGTGGCACTTAAATTATATTTTATCTCCACATACTTACGAAATAAATGAGGACGGTGAATCACGATTTACTGTACAAGTGGTAATATAATATTTTATTCACAAACAAGAAAGTTGAGCAATCAAATTGACTTCTGGAATTGAGAGAACGAACTCTCGACAAGTGGAAAAATATTTTTAAAGTAAAGCGCTGGAGTATATTATTTCATTCTTTTCCACAATGCAAATTAAAATGTGCATATTTTAATAAAATGTACAAGTATTGCTTGTTTGTTCAGACTTATCACATCCTTCACCGTTTTAATGTTGTCAGAAATATGTACATAAATGAATGCACTGTAATACATGTAAATTGTATATTGTTGAATTCAACCCCCGAATTAAACGCAAATAAAAAATAAAGCGGCAGTATGAAAAGCAAGCACCAAAATTGAAGATTTCAAGTAAATAAATATTTCGAGATCTAGAACGTACGAGTTTTCGAGAAGTACTGTGTAGCTTTAGAGGGTCGAGTTTTCAAGAATCGAAATTTGTAAGGTCGCGATTTCGAAGGTCAATTTGAGGATCGAGGGTCCAGTTCTCGAAGTTCCATTGCACAACAAGTCATTGCACACACATCTGCTTCGTCTGCAGCGCTGCGGGACCAAGTGCGGGCGCTCGTGCGCAGTCCCTTCGCTCGCTGCGCCGCTCACCAGGGGCAGCAAACCCACCCGTCAACAGGCAGTCACGTGACATAAACGTGTGCACGTCCTGGGTGTCGCGAAGGCGGCCGCAACAGCAGCAGCGACTTTGAGACAACAGTGTTGTACACACCTACGACCATGCTGCGGAATGCGATGCTTCGAAACCCACAACGCCGCTTGAACGCATTGAAATCAGTCTTGGACAATTTAATATTGATATAAAGGATTTAGAAATGCGAATGCACCTCAAAATGGTGATAAGCATAAAATAGAAGGAAATAAAATAAAGCATATACACTGCACTAAATGTCCATCTGTACAAATAAAATTGAATTCAACGACTTGTAACCGACACCGTTATCACAAAATGTAGTGAAACGAAATTTGTACAGGTTCTTCAAGACTATCGCAATGTCTTTGCAAAGTTTGGTAAAGATTAATACAAAACAAATGCGTAAAATAAAAAATTTAAATTATATTTTGGTGGACACGCCACGATCAATATTTTCACCTGTAGCAAAGAAGAGATTGATACCTAATATATTCCGTCAGAGGTCAGTAGGGGAGCTGCAGAGGTCAGTAGCAGTATGCGAGATAAAAATTGCGATGATCTGTAAAATAAGGTGAAAGAAAACTCTAGTATTTAATTGAAATTTATTAGTGTTTTATTTTTCATTATAGTATTTAAAAATATATTAAATATAATCTTAAACACCATGATGTATATGAAATGGATCTTTACCTTCTTTCACAAGGATTGGCTATGAAAAAACCCAAATGTTTTGCTAGTTAAACATATTTGGAAGTGCAAAATTGCAAGTTAAGGCATAATTACAACTATTAATTTCAGACAAAAGTTTTATGTCTCCACATTCTTGAAGAATTAATATCAACTAAGCCCGAAAATGTAATTTCATCATTCCTAATGTCTTTTCTCGCGCAATCAAGAAACATTAGGGAGACTGAATTTATGACTTCTGTTGAAACAAGCCACAAGCTTTCTTTAAGCATAATTTAACTGCATTATTATGCATTAGATAAGTGCATGCATACCTTGGTGACATGGCCACATGCCTAATACAATTTATTTTTATTCTAACCTAAAATGTAATACGTCTGCTCTGCATTGCACTGTTGAGCCATCGCTGCTTGTAACGCGCTAATCTCATTCTTCACTTGGTATAGCTTGCGAGTCTCCATAGGGTCTTCGATATTCGCCCACAGTCAAACGTTCTGTGTATCAAGAGGTATGTCTCTCTCATTGATTACACCAATTTACTCATTCAAATATTAGGCTGATAAAGTTCATCATACTTCTCAAATTTAAATCCTTGCACAATTAACCAATTTCTTTAATTATAAATCAAACATTTTTTAATCCCTTAACTAGATATAAAATCCCAAGATCAATTCCCATTGGCCCTAAAGCTTCAACCGGGGGATGCTAGCGCTCCCTACTACACTCTGACCAACAGAAGACATCAGATGTCCTCCGACGCTCATACACGCCACACGCTGTGATGCATGGAGCCGCATTTCATTACTCTTTATTCGGTTGCCTACCCGGCACTCGCGTGCGCCAACGTGCTAATATGACGCTCTGATTTTTAATGTGAAGTGTGCCGGTCAACATGACTCAAACTGATCGTATTAACAACAGAGGCTGTAACAAGAGAGCTCTAAACTTTAGTACAGCTACACTAGTTACTAGGAACTGAGTTCTACGCATTAGGCTGAATATCTACTTTACTACAACATGTTGTTCCCAACTCTGTTACATCGTAATTGGGGATTAACTATTTTACAAGCTTGTGCTGCCGCTGCCTCAGCATAAATGCGTGATTGCCTCTTTATTACGTGATCAATGTATTATGCATCACGGAATCCCTGAACTTGTTCAATTGGTTTGCATAGAATAAGTATTAACAACAATTGCATTACACAACAATTGCAACTACTTCCAAAGATAAGACGTTGTATTTGAGAGTTTGAGTTGCTAATTGTGATATCTCTGTGAGCCACGTCTGTTCTATGTTACCAAATGTGTTTCACTCTGGCAATTCTGATAATACGACAACCTCCAGCGACAGACTTGTTCGCTCGCTCAAGAGCTGATGTTGCTTTGCCATGCCTGTCTCAAGGTTTAAGACTCTTCATACGGGGTTATCTTCTGGATTTTTTACTTTCCTGTATACATACTTATACACGAAGTAATGCATGTAGTATAGGGTAAGTTACGCAATGCTGCGGAAAATCGATTTCCAGATTTAAACGGAAATACACCCCTGATAGCGAAAAAAGTGTTTTTTTTTCATAACGTTCGTTTGTCTGTCCGTCCGTCCGTGCGACCGTGAACATCACTAGCGCCTAAACCGTAGGTACGATTTTTTCCAAAATGAATATTCTACGGACGATTTGCCTCGACTCGAGGGGCTGCGATTTTCAAAAACTATTTTCAAAATTTGGGGGCATTTACATGAATCCCCCAGACATTTTTAAAATTGTCTCAAAACGGCTCCAATATTTTTCTTTGTATTTCCTGTAAAATAGCCTAAAATACACATATAAACATGGCATTATTCCATTTTTACGGTTAACTCAGAATTATTTGAAAATTTTGAAATTTTGAGGAGTCTTCATACAACTACAAAATTCAATGTACATTTATTGCTACAAATAAAATTTATTCTCTATAGTTAGTTCTCTCGCGCAATATTTATAATTATTAAATTAGTATTGATAATTTTAAAAATTACAAAAACACGATTTTCTCAAAAACGACTCCAATGTTTTTCTAACTTTTTGTAGAGATATTGCTAAATGCACTCTATAAGATGACAAAGTCCATCTCCATAAACGCTCTATTCCTTTGTTCTTAAAAAATTACAGAAATATATTTTTTAACATTTCTTTACATCGTTAATATTTATATTAGCGCCAATGTGTTAACATTATTAGATTTATGAGTACACGTGCTTTAAATAATGCCCTATAGTATTTAGTAAGTGATCGATAAACCTCTGGTGTTGCCAGGAAAATTATAAATTTATCGACCAACGAGCGTGCTGCAGTATTCTTCTTTCTTCACGATTTCTGTAATGTTTCTGGCATTGCGTGGAAGTCATTTACCCAGGGAGAAATATTGTGGTCGCTTCAGCACCTTCTGAATTGTGGAGGCTGCTAAATATTTCTTAGATGGATTGAGAGAGATTTATCAGAAACTGCAACGAGTAGTTCTGTGCATCGCATTCTGTATTCTCATCGAACGAGAGAGTTCGGAAAAAAAGCGACACATTTACGAAATAATTGACAAAGATTATTCCTTTGCCGTATGAATCAATGAGTATTGAAGAGATTGTCATGGTTACCTCTGTCTGGCCGAAAATAAAGTTCTCCGTACGAATTTCACGTCATTCATGCTTTGTGCTTTTCCCTTCCGCGTCTCGGAGCGCTGGTTCAAAGAAACTGCACGATAATTGCTTTCTGCCAACGTACCACAAACTTTCAATGCGCCCCATATGCGTATTGCTTAGTTCCTCGGCACGATCGCTAGGAAAATGGTCGCGGCTATTCTAAATTTCAAACAATGCGAGCTCGTCGCGCCTGAAGTGGAAAAAAATCGGACAATGCGCAACTTTTTCGTCGCGGCCGCCCAAGAGTTGGTGCATCTTATTAGTGATTTTAAGTCTTGTTATTTTGGAGTTGAATTGATATTAGTTATTGAGTGCCTCAATCCATCAATCAATAGATCGAAAACTTATTTGGTCCACTTTTCTTATAGTTTTTGGAAATCCGGGGCTCTTGAAATATAAATACGTTGTCACCATGTAATTTTTATACACACTATTCACAGTTTATATCCCCACTAATAGTTTCGTTATGATTTCAAATGACTTAAATACGATTACAATTTACACATTCGTACTATAATCATAAGCAAAGGCTCCT